GCCGGCGACCGTTTTTCGCAGTCAGAGTGTATTCAATCAGGAACTCGCTTTCACCCCACGTCGGCCTTGCGCCAAGCATCGAGTCTTTCAAATTGAGACTCAATGAAAATTTAGCAAACTTTAAATTCAAAAAAATTGTGAAGCTGCATGCAGTAGTGGAAGAAGCCCGTATAATGTTGCATTTGACACAAGGAATTTTATTTCGCCTGTTCGCCGAGCTCGGCAATTTGTTTGCAAACGTTTCATCACCAGCCGAGGTGACATCATCAGTGCTTGTGAAGTAGCAGTGTTCTGCCTGTACCCGTTCGTTTATATATGCGTTCTTCTCCACCGACTATTTTCGTCCCCTGTTCGCATTGTGTTCGACTCGGTCCGCCGTTGAACTGTTGCGAGCGGGTGGGGGTGGGAGATGAGGAAGTTGTCCTTTCGTCCCGATTGCGGTTTCCGTCTGTTCTCAGGTCACGGCTTGACCTTTGTTCCGTCATTTGGTCCTTCAGTTGCATTGGCATGTACACGTGATCCAGTACGATGTGCCTGTTTATTGAGTTGGTTGAAGAGTGCCAGGTCAAGCTCGGTGAACAGGCGAAATGGAATTGAGTTCACCTGAGCTACGACAACCAATTTTCAATATTTTGTCAACCAATTGAACTATTCAACAAACTTCCATCCGTTCCATATCTCGCTACGAGCCATATTAAGTCTATGATATGAAGTTGCGGGGGTAGCCATTGCGAGCGAACACTTTGAGGAGGTATCTTTCTTCTTTCTTCTTGAGTATGTCGGCGCTGCATTGCGTTTGGATTCTTCCAAACAGGGTTTTAACGCAGTATCTTTTGTGGTTGTGTGGGTGATTACTTTTGAAGTTTCGGATTTGATCTGTATGTGTTTCCTTGCGGTAGACCGTTGTCTCCAATTTTCCTGATGGCGTTCTGATGATCAAGGTGTCCAGAAACGCCAGTTGTTTATCCTTCTCGGTATCCATTGTGAACTTGATGCCGTTGAATGAGTTATTGATAATGTTGTACGTTCGTTCTAGCTCCGACTTCTTCAAGATGACGAATGTGTCATCAACGTACCGAAGACCAAAGTTTTGGCATGATTCTTGGTAGTATGTTCTTCTCCAGCTACCCCCGCAACTTCATCAAAAGAACTCTGGCTCAAAGAAAGAAGGAAACAACAGACGGAGAGTTGGGAACAAGAACGACCCTGCCGTACATTAAGGACGTTTCGGAAATGACAGTAAGACTTCTCAGATCGTATGGAATCCAAGTCACCCACAAACCGATCGCCTGTCTAAAGGGACTTCTGTCAAAACCCAAGGAGGGAACAATGGATAAGGACAA